TATTGGACCATAGCGGAATATAGGGTGGACCACCCCTGCGGACTCAAAGAATAAACTAAGAAAGAAGGAAGAAAAGACAAAAAGGACCAACAAAACAATACAAAAATATAAATAAAGAACACCAACAGAAAAAAAAACCAAAACAAAAAAAAACACCTATGCAAACAATTATCCCCTTTAGGCTTATCGGAAAAAATTCCCGACCCTTGTACATCAGCAACCCCCTTAGGAGCGTACCTGCTGGGGTTCATTGCCTATAGCGGGGATTTGTGATGGCCTTTCCAAAGACCAACCCAGGAGAGAAAGCAACTCATTAATATATTGAAGAAAAAAAAAGACAAAAAAGGATAAGAAAGCAAAAGATAAGGGAAGAGAGAGGGAGAGGGGAAAAGATCAGGAGAGAGAGAGAAAGAAAGAGAGAGAGAGAGAGAGATGAAAAAAACAAAACAAAACAAAACAAAACAAAAAACGCACAGACAAAAAAAGAGGGGTTGGGTTCGATCACTAAGATTATATAACACTAGGGTTGGAAAGGGAAAGGATTTATGATCAGTAATTTGCACTATGGTAGGGGGGGGGGCGGGTAGAGGGTCCATAAAGGTTTACACAAGGTTTGAGCATATATTAATTATTCAGGGTTTAGGGTTTGCTAGGAAGGCTTTTTGTGCACTAAAGAAAATTTAAATATGTGGGAACCGTCCCAATGGATGTGAGAAATATAGTTTTGGGATGAATACTTGCATGATTTTAATAATGATGGTGATAATTGACAACAAAAATAATAATACTATTAATAATAACAACTGATGCTTGAAATGGGGGTGGGGATTAAAAATTGAGTAGTGCACTGAAGAAATAGAACACATAGAAAGACACATTAAGGGGAAGTATGCATTATCAGTGAGAAGGGGGGATAGTGTGGGGGTTTATTGGGAAGTGGAAAAAAAGAGGAAAAAAAGAAAAAAGGGGAAAAAAATGTACTATTATTTTTCTTTTGTGGGCACTGTAATACTTATGGCATGCTGATATCACTTGATTCATCAAAGACAGAATGTTAGAGCATTTACCCAACACCTTGAATTTGTATAGTGAAAATGTTTGGCCTTATTTAGCTCCTGGGACTTTACATTGGCTATTTAATACCAGATTCACAATTCATTTATCACTGGAGGAAACTGCCACATTCTAGTGTTGAGATCACTTTAGCATTTCACCAACAAGAAGTGTTCTCACCTCATCCAGCGCTCTACCCACTACTGAACTTCATTTTGTTGGCAAATATAATAGATATGTAAAAAATGATTTGTATTTAATCGTACAGCTTGTGGCATCTCTTGGTCCCAAGTGGAGTATACATGCAGGCAGCTTCTCCTCATTTTCATCCTGAGGCTGATTTAGAAATGGAAGCCACACTTTGCAAATTACTCTTTGCTTTACTGGGTAAGGCTAGATAGACTGTCCTTTCTCTTTCTAATGCTTATACAATGGCATTTCTCTTGCTTTAAAAGAAAAGAACATCATAAGTGCACCTGTATTGAGATATTGCATTTTGGTGTTTTAATATTACATTCCATGTTTGATAGCTTCTTCCAGGGTTACAAGAGAGGAAAAAAAATCTATAAAATACACCTTGAAATGATTCATTGTGTAACCCCTATAGAACATAGGGTCAAGGATTATTTAAGATGCAACAAATGCACAAAGTACTCCGAGTCGCATGAAAAAGAGAGGTGTGCGCAGTTAAGACACCAAAATATGAATATGACACAAAAATGTAAATATGAAGTATATTGTGGAAAATAAATGAAGACAATTGGTCGTATTCAATATAAAATGCAAAGAGGAAAGTGTTTGTTTGGTAAGGGCAATAACCCCTAACAAACAATCAGAATTCACTCTGCTGTAGTCAGACTTTTAGGGTGAATTTTGATGGCTTTCTAGGAATAAATACATATCTCTGTGCACCCCTCTCATCACTTCTAATCTCCCTCCAGACCACTGAAAAATTGCATTTTTTAAAGGTTCCTAAGTTGTTTTCCACTCACCAGAGTCTGCCTTCAAATGTCCCTCACCAATGCTTCTGCCAAGTCCAGTGATCCAGTGCAGTTGGGGCCTGTTGTGGACCAATCTTGTGGTCCTTCATCGTGATCACACTAATGAATTTTTCTTGAAACTGAGAAGACTCCCCCTCCCGTTGGACAGCCAATGGAAAGTGTCCATGTCACCCACAGAGGGACATGGGAACTAGATTTAGCACCCTCCAACTCATCAGTTCAGAATATAGAAGATTCAAAACTCATTGCTGCAAGAGACCATAAGTTTAATTATAGATATGTAATGGTAGCACACGGCCCACACCTGCTTTTCATTGATGGGCTGCCCCTAGGTATTCATGATAATTTCCCCACACCCCCCTGCAAAAATTGCCCTTTTGCCACCCTCCCCTTTGGATCTGCCACTGACCTAACCTTCAATCCCAGCTATGGGGAACAAAGCCCACCTGATCTCCCATGCCAGCTATGGTGTATAGACCTCACCTGACTTTTCATCTCCGTTATGGGGTACAGACCTCACCTGACCACCCACCCCAGCTATAGAGTACAGAGCTCACCTGACTTCTCATCCCAGTTTAAGGTATAGAGCTCACCTGACTTCTCATCCCGGCTATGGGCTACAGACCTCACCTGACCTGACCACCCACCCCAGCTATAGAGTACGGAGCTCACCTGACTTCTCATCCCAGTTTAAGGTACAGAGCTCACTTGACTTCTCATCCCGGCTATGGGGTATAGAGCTCACCTGACCTCTCCCCCTGGATCCTCCTGCCGCCGCCACCGATGCTAGCATTGGGCGGCTCTTTACTTATCACTGTGCCCACGTCTCTTTTCTCCTCCCATGGCCTATGTGTTCACTGAGCCCCCGGCTCTCTCCCTGCCAATGTGCCCACCTCTGTGTAATGTGACCCCCTTCCAGCTTTTCTGCTGCCACTGTGCCCACCTCTCTC